CCAAGAGTATCTGCCGATCATCCAATAGTCCCACTTGATCAGCGCCACCACCAGACGCCTGACCGACCTGGCCAGTTCATTCATCATCGAGCTCCAACAATTCCATGACTTCAAACAATGGAACACCTTATGTTTATGATATAACATATTGATGTGCACGTTTCACCACACCAAAGTAATTGGATTCTCAACCCGATTTAATGTAAGTTGTCCTTCAATTACATACAAACATCAGGAATGATTCCCAATGTAGATAATTTGATGATTCTTAAGATTGTTTACCATAAATAAATTAAAATGAGATTATAAATAATAAAAGAAATGTGATTAGAGCTTATTTTATTCCTCCTGTGCCCATCTATATTGTTGTTAGAATATTTTACTAGCATCATTCGAATTTAATCTTGGTTTCTTGATGTTATTTTGATGATTTTCCTTTTAGGAAAACAAAACAATTTAAAGAGAAATTTTTTTTTTTATTTATTACTTATTTATCTTTTAGTTTCTAGCATATATATTTTTTGTACATGTTTAATTTATAATATGATAAATATTATGGAGTCATAAACCTTATTGGAGAAGGATTACATTGTATATATTTTATATGTAGTAATAGATATATGATTATATGTTTACACGGTTTCCTTATATGTGTAGGGAAACTTTGTATAAGATGGATATGGACTAGAGGAAGGGATATACACGAACATGTAGGATTTGGACGTGCTGAAGATTAAAAAGATATCTTCTTAAGAAGATATGCTGAAGATTTAGTCAGATTTTGAGAATCTCGTGTATAAGGAAAAAAAAATGTGTTTTAAGGCAATAATAGAAAGTCTGAGTGTCTGAAGATCATACAGAAGAAACACATTCCTTGAGAAGATTTTGAAGATTCGGATTATCTAAGAAATCCTTGCAACCAACGAATATTTCATTATATGGCCAGAACACCAATCTGACGAGAAGACTTTATTATATTCTTGAAGAGCAAACCATGTCGAGAGTATAGAGAATCACTTAATTATATTGTTTACCTGAGAGTTCGTAAGTTTTTGTTCTTCATAGATTTTGAATCCAAGCTTACAAAACGTGTGTTTCTACATTGTTGTAAGTTTGGAGCCTAATTTTCTTTCGTAATTGTTGAACCTGTGAGTTTGGCCACAAAAAAGTAATTAGTGGAGTGAAATATAGTGCTTGTAGCCTTATGAGGGATTTTTTCACGTGTAAATCCAAACTATACGCTGTGAGAGGCAGTCATTCACAAATGAAAGAGTTCTGAAAAGTAATGAGACGTACCCTTGGCAGAAACTAGTTTATTCATGCTCCCTCTATATTTTGTGCTCTTACGCAATTATTTCTGCGCAAATTTAATTCTCACCATATTAATTGAGGAGTAAGATGTGCGTAAATCCTCGAATTTAGAAAAATCTTGTTTGTGATAAAGGACAACAAATGTCGCCCTTGTATAAGCATATTAACTTACCATCTCATAGCTTTTCTCTGTAGCTTTCATGCGGTCTCTAGTCTCTACATGTTAGCTGACTTATCATGTGACCTATGATTCTATTAGTTAGCGTGATTTCATTTTTTTCTAAAGAAAAGAAACCTCACATGCAAAACTAGAGCTCATTCTCAATGTGTATGCATACATATATAACATATTCCATATCTATTATAAATATATTTATTAAACTTGAAAACTAGCTAACATGATAATTTTGTTTTGTCTACTTCAATGATTGTGAAATAACATTTCAGGATCCAAAGAAATAAATATAGTGGTGCTTTTCATTGACAAGAATGACCTCAAATCGACATTGGACTCATTAGGTTGGCTAAAGTTTGTCAACCAAGAGCGCTTGGATGAGATGACTTGGGTCTCTTCCAGCTTAACCAGTGGTCTCGTGTTCGAGCCCTGAGAATGCAGCAGTGTTAAAACTCTTGAGGGAGAGCTTTGCCGCCCTTGTGGTCCTACCCGGCTCGATTTCGGATTAGTCGGTTCCCCTGTGGATCCGGAAACCGGAAGGTCCCTATACCAAAAAAAAAAAATGTTTGTCAAATGCGTGGCTATTAAATTAAATTAACTAACTATATGTACTTAGGGTCATGAAATTAAACAAGTAAATTAATTGGTAATAATTATGTTCCCAGCACCTTTTTTTATGTCACGCCCCACCCAACAACTCAATTTGATCCCACTCTTAAAGAAGCTTGGACCCCAAGCCCCTACAACTACTCTGCGTAATTCATACAATATCTTATGACTTATGTTTTAACCTTCAAAAAATAACCCCAACTTTTGACTTACTCATTAGAGGAAAAAATCAAAAGTAATCTCACAGCTACAGAAATAAATTAATTAAAATATAGTTGATAAATAAATTTGAAACTGATCAAAATAGAGATTTTTTTTTTTTTTTTTTTTTTTCGGTACAACGAAAGTAGAGATAATTTTAAAACTTGAGAAACTAATGGTAATCAACTGCCACTATAAAAAGAACGATGAAATTCTAATGGAAAATTCCAAATGCAATTCCAATTGATATTTCAATGTTGTTATTTATGTCGAAATTTTCTAATGGATTCTAATGGAAATTCCAACAATAATATTCCGTTGGAATGTGTTTTTTATTGGAATTTCTGTTGGATTTTGATGATTCTAATGGTAGTTTTTTCAACGGAGTAGAAATAAAAATTCCAACGAAATTTTTTATGGTAAAAAACCGTTGGAAAAATAGTCGTTGGAATCGTAAAATTCCATTTAAATTTTCAAAGGGAAAACTCACTCCAACAGAATATTTACGTTGGATTCCGACAGAAGATATACCATTGAAAAATCCGTCTTAATGAACATATTATCGTAGAATTTTTTGTTGGAGTATAACATTTTTTTGCACTTCTACGGTGGGATTAATTTTAAATTTTCCCCTAATTTTTTCGGTCCGTATCTCTATATCTTCGCATTATTCTCATCTCTACTTTCCATATAATATATATAGATATAATGAAGGTAATTGACATTTTTGTCACTCGCGCTTTATTGACCACAGCTGTTAAAGTTACATTAGCGAAGCCGGCAAGCAGCAGCGTGACACTATTTACCAACTTAAATTGGGATTAATTACTTGTGAATTATAAAACAAATATAAATACATTATAAATTAATTACTGTATATATATATATACACTCCAAGCAAAACTACACACACTTTTATGAATGGGAAACTGCGTATTTAAAGGGTCGGACGCCGCCGCCGCCGCCAGGAAGTCGTCATCAGCGGCGGCGGGGTTGGTGAAGGTGGTGACGCCTGGTGGCGGCGTGATGGAGCTGCGCCCACCCGTGTCCGCGGAGACCCTGACGATGGAGTTCCCGGGCCACGCTGTGTTCCCGAACGACGTGTCCCCGCCCCTCCTCCACCACGAGCACCTCTGCCCGGGGCAGTCCTACTACCTCCTCCCCCTGCACAGCCGGAATCCGCCGCCGGCAGGCGGCGGCGCCGCGACGCCTCCGCCGTACAGGGTGTCGGTGGACGGGCGGGTGCAGGGAGGGGCGAGCACGCCGTCGTCGAGGAGGCAGTCGCCGGTATCGGAAAGGAAGCTGAAGAGGCACGACAGCGGGGTGGGGACGTGGAAGGTGAGGCTGGCCATCAATTCCGACCAGCTGTCGGAGATACTGTCGCAGGAGGCGAGGACGGAGGCGCTGATTGAGAACGTGAGGAGCGTGGCTAAGTGTGCGGCGCGGAGCAAGGGCGTGGTACCCTACGACCAGCGCAGCTGGACCAGCGCACCCGACACGAATTCTGCGGCGGCTGGTCGTGATCTTGAGTGAGTGTAGAATGATAGGTAGTCAGTCAGTCAAGTCAACCATTATGGCGATAAATAAAATTAATTAATTAAACTCTCTTGGGCTTTATTATTGATTTATTTATCTCAACTGATTTATATATATACACACACACACACATTGTATGCATAGATTTCTGGTTTCATTCATATGTACTGTAACAACACCACTCAAATTGTGCAAACGAGTCTATGATTTTGTACATTTTTTTTTTTTT